GAGGCCTTCGGACGACGGCGGCTGTCAGAGATCCGAGTTGGCACGACTGGTGCGAGATCGACTCGGGGGTAGTCTGGAGGTGCACTAAGTGTTTTTCGATCACCTGGGATCAGGATAGATCGATGGTCGGGTGCAAAGGGGTCCCCACTGCTTTTCGGAATCTTAAGGATGCCGAGGAACGGGGGCACCTCCTAGCTTGCGCGATGATTGACAATGAGGCCCAGGAACCTTTAGTGTTTTGCTACAGGTGTGGGGCCTACTCTTCGAAGAGGTGTGTTTTGCTGGCGACGCGGTGTTGTGGGAAGCTGGGCACGAGATCCCAGACCCTCTCCCGAGTCAAGCAGGGGCTCCACCCTCACTTTTACAATGATAATCGTGTCACGGACCCTTGCCGTCGCTCTGCCGATTTTGTTATTGAGGCCGCGGCCACACAAGGTGGTAAACAGACGGCCTCCCGCCTGCGCCTCGTGTCTACTCCTGGCATGGAGGCTCTGGCGGCCCGCGTTCGTGCACGGGAAGAAGCTGCAGCTGCCTCCCGTCGATCGGGTTAGGCAGGTTTTCTCAGTTCTGCCTCGAGGGCCTCCGAGGAAAAATCCTCCTCCCCCTCGTCCTCCTCCTCCTCCCCCTCCCCCTCGTCCTCCTTCTCCTCCTCTCCCTCCTCCTCCCCCTCCTCCTCCCCCTCCCCCCTCCTCCCCTTCCTCCTCCTCCTCCTCCTCCTCCTCCTCCTCCTCCCCCTCCTCCTCCTCCTCCTCCACCCTCCTCTTCCTCCTCCTCCTCCTCCTCCCCCTCCTCCTCCTCGTCTTCTCCCCCCCCCCAAGGAGCCGCGGGGCGCGCGGCCCCCTCCTCGCCGCCTCCCTGGGCCTGGGCGTGCCGGGGCCTCTCCAGGGATATCGCGCCGCTCGGGGCCCGCCGGTGTATACACGTAGGAGGAGGAGGAGGAAAGAGGAGGAGGAGGAGGAGGAAAGAGGAGGAGGGGGAGAGAGGAGGAGGAGGAGGAAAGAGGAGGAGGAGGAGGAGGAGGAGGAGGAGGAGGACGAGGACGAGGAAGAGGAGGAGGAGGGTGCTCAGACCTCCAACATCTGGTGAACACATTCGGACCGGAGGTTCTCCGCCGGGTTTTGGGCCTCCGACGGCCCTCGCCTCCGACTCCGGGCCAGTGCACGAGCGAATCGGCAGGGAGGCTCGGTCCGAGATCGGTGCTCCGGGGGCCGCGCGCGGAGTGAACAGCACGCCGGATCTCAGGGGGAGAGAGTGGCCCTCCGCCAGAGTGACCTCCGGCGCGGGCCCACTTGTGGGCCCCCGGTCGCCGACCGCGGTGCGATGTAGCAGCGGCCTGCGCGCCTGGCTTGCCTCCCCCCCTCCCCCTCCTTCCTTCCTTCCTTCCTTCCTTCCTTCCTTCCTTCCTTCCTTCCTTCCTTCCTTCCTGCCCCCTTCAAAAACGGTGTCACTCCAGCGTGTTGCCCCGTCAGGGCGTGTCCTTCCCTCCTTCCTTCCTTCCCCCTCCTTCCTTCCTTCCTTCCTTCCTTCCTTCCGTCCTTCCTTCCTTCCTCCCCCTCCTTCCTTCCTTCAGCGTGCAGCCAGGGTCAGCGCCAGCGGGGGTCAGCTGGTACCAGATCTCCGACGCCATGCTTTTTTCAACCAGCGTTTCCTGTTCTGTCGATTCTCGGCCCGGGGCCCGTGTTCGGGGCTCGGGGCCCAGGGCAACAGCGAGGTGGGTTCGAGCGTCGAGCTTCGAACCTCGAAGCGGTGTTCCCTCCTTTCGGTTTGCCCTCCTCCTCCCCCTTTTCCTCCTCCTCCTCCTCCTCCTTCCCCTCCTCCTCCTCCTCCTCCCCCTCCTCCTCCTCCCCCTCCTCCTCCTCCTCCTCCTCCTTCTCCTCATCCTCGTCCTCCTCCTCCTCCTCCTCCTCCTCCTCCTCCTCCTCAGCGAAGAGCTGGCCCCAGAGGAGGGGTCGGGTGGGGACTTCGGGGGCCACGCTGATGGAGGAACACTGTGCCGTCGGACGTCTGGCACTAAGTCGGGCGTGTCCCTCTACAGGGGGAATATTCACAAGTAGTCAAGAATTAGTCTGGGGACGATTTCTTTGACTATTTTTTTATATTTTTGGGGTGTTTTTTTCAGTATGGTTCATTTTTCGCCCAAAATCCCCCTGTAGGGGGACACGCCCGACTTCAGACTGGCATCCCCTCCGATGCTCACCTGGCTGACCCGGGTCTGAGGGCCACGCGGCGCCTGACCTTCTCCCCGCCCTCTCGGGGGCCCCCCCCACACACGGTGCAGTTCACCAGCCTCGAACTTATCCGTATCCCTAAGATTGACACGCTAAAAGGAGATGACAATCTTAGGGATGCACCCTCAGAAACTGAGGGAATCCCTAAGATCGCCATCGTGATGAGGCGATACCCAACATAGGGATAGGGATATGTTCCAGGCTGGTAAGCAGTGGCCACGCCACGCGCGGTGAGGCAGTGGGGCTCGCAGGGACCGCTCGGTCTGGTTGGCCCTCGGGCCGCTCCCCGAGGGCGTCTCGGGCGACCGGGGCCTCCCTGGTCCCAAGACCAAGGGCGCCCTCGAGGGCGCGAGGCTGTTCGCGCTTCGCGCTTCGCGGTTCGGCCTCGATTCCTCCTCATCCTCCTCTCCTCCCCTGGGAGGCGGCGCGAGAGCGCGAATTTGTTCGCACTTCAGCGCGAAGCGCGAAGTTGGGAGCCCTTGCAACACGGTGCGGTGGCGGATCGTGCGGCGAGGTCTCTGGGGATTCCGAGGTCACCGCACGGCCTCCCGCCACACCCTTTCGGGGCCCTCCGGCGGCGAATCATGGGAGCCTGGTGTGCCCTCTCAACTCCGCCTCTGGCGTCGATTAGCGTCGATTGGCTTCTGGGAGTCGATGAGATAGCGTCGATCTGGCGTCGGGTAGCGCCGATCCGCTTCGAGTTGGCGTCGATTTAGCGTCGATTCAGCGTCGACTGGCGCCGATCCGCGAGGGCCGGCAAGATGTCACGGGAGGTTCCCACGAGCTGCCACGAGCTACAGTCGGGGCCTGGGCCCAAGGAACCCAAAATACGGAACGAGGCCCCGCCCTCGCGCCGCCGGGCACGGAGAAAGGGGGGGCGTCGTGCTCGGGCCCTCTGCCTAGGGCCTCTGTGAGCCTCCGCCCTCGGCCCCGAGGAGGCCTTTCAGGGAGGCCCAGGGTCATGTCGGGCGTGTCCCCCTACAGGGGGAGCTTCGACGAAGCATTTGAAATACAGTCGGGGCGTTGACCCAAGGAACCCAACATAAGGAACGAGGCCCCTTTTTTCCATCGGTTAAACTTCGATTTCCGATCGAAGACATAAGGAAGGCCTGAGGCAAGCTGCGAAACACTTGAGGAACGCGGAGCCCCTCCCCAACGAAAAGGGTTCCTTCTTCAAGACCCCGACTGTATTCGTGGCCAGCCGGTACCCCCCCCATCTTTCGGAGGTTGATAGACCTCCTACCCTGACATGTCGATTAAGGCATTGGCCGTTTTCGGTTCGCGAGAGGGCGTCGCGGCTGTCATCTTTGCGGGTCCAGGTCCGCCGGTTTCGGTCCCAGGCCGTTTTCACTAGGGGGAGGTTTACGAAAGGGAGGTTTGTCCACCGCCGAGACGGGGGTCAGTGGAAACGGGGGTCAGCCAGGGCACCAGATCCTGCAGGATCCTGCGAAGATCCTTTCTGGCTGACCCGGGTTAGCAAGCCGCTCGTGGCCGGGATGCGGCCGCGCACAATGGCTGACCCGGGTTTTCGAAGACCTGCGTTGCAGTTTTTGTTTTCCTGCATTGCAGTTTTTTGGTTTCCTGCTGACCCGGGTCTGGATTGACCCGCGTCAGAGGATCCCCGAGGGAAAGGGGGGGTTACGAAATCTGCTGCATGCAGCCGGTTTCGGCCTCCTCGATACATGGCCGCCTCCGGCGCCGGGAGGCGCCGGGAGAATCAGCTACGTGAGCTGATTCTCAACCCACCCTTTTGCCATCCCCCCCTTTCACCCGACCCGACGACCTGCTGTAGCCTGGGCCGCCAGGAAGAATCTCGAGCACCAGGGAAGTACCCAAACCGGAGGATTTTCTCGATATTTCGCCAGCGTGTCGGGCAGACGTTCGATATTTTTTTGGGTGCTCGAATTTGTTTCAGGCATGCGATCCTTGAGTACGATGGGAACGACATAACCCTAGAAGTCCGTGCGGGCCTCCGAAAGCTTACACGTCGGTCGTTGGAAGTAGGTAGTTTGGGTTTTATTCGGATCCTAGCTTATTTTGCCGGAGGAGAAAAAGCGGCTTAACCATAAACTTTTTGCGCTCCGCGTTGATTTCTCGGATCCGCGCTGGGACCCCCCTGGCGGCGCTTCCGGCGCCGCCCCTGGCGCTGTCTGCGCGCCACGGAGGGGGTCCAGCGCGGATCCAAGAAATCCGCGTGGAGCGCCAACAGATTATGTGTATGCAGTTTGTTCTTCTTCTTTGTTCCTAGTGGTTTCGGATCCCAACGTATTTCGGGTGCCTTCCTATTTTTTGGCGTCCCAGACGGGGTCCGAGTAGATGGTGTCGGAGGATCGCGCGCGCCGTTGATGCATCGCGGATGAGCCCGACTTTCTCCACGTCTACGGCGCCGATGCGTCGCCGACGTCGCCGATGCATCGCCGATACATCGCCGATGCATCGGTGATGCGGCGCGTTCCTCCGACCCCATCTACTCGGACCCTTTCTAGGAGGCCTCACTGATCGACTGGTTTCACCTATCTTTTTCTCTTCTGGGGGCGGGCGGAAGCCCAACTACATCCAACGCCTTCCTACTCCATGTGTCTACACACTTGATCCGACCGACGGGTATGCTTTATGCAGCCTTTCGTTCTTTTGATTCAAACGTCCGCCGTCTGGTTTCCACGAGATGTTCATAGAACTATTCTGGATGATAATGTCTTGTTTCAACACATCCGCTCTGTGTTCTAAGAACATGGCATTTGCTCTTAGAACAGCTTGTTCTAAGAACATGTCCTGGTAGGCCTATAGGGATGCCGGGACGGTCGGCGTCTGCTCAACTGATGTCGGGGCCAGCGCTCCCTGCAGGGCTCCCCGGCACGCAGAGGCCCGGGCTTCGCCCCCGACGGCCTGAGAGGCCCGCGAGGCTCGAGGACCTCAGGAAGGGTCAGGCCGTCTACCGGAAGGGCCAGCCCGCCGAGATAGTCAAGGTGGGCGGGCTAGTGCTATTGTGGGGTAGAGTAGCAAAAGGAGGAGGTGGAGGAGGAGGAGGACGAGGAGGAGGAGGAGGAGGAGGAGGAGGACGAGGAGGTCGACCCGAGATGCATCGGCGATGCTGGAACACATCCTCCCGTGTGATCGTTTTTTATTCATGGTTTTGCCGATCGGCGCGGGCCTTCGTACCCCTCCTCTCCCCCCCCCCCTGGAGTAGATCTTGGCTGTTTTTGGCGCCTGATTCGAGCAGGTGGAGTCCCCCCTCATAGGACGCACTGTCGCAAACAGTCGCACTGCGCAGAGGTCCAGTGCCAGACCCCCCCCTTCCCCCCTCTCTTCGCTCAACGTCGAAACGCCGAATGATAAAACGCTGACCGTCCCAAGGCCCCTGGTCATGAGTCCCTACTAGCCTCGCTTTTCACTGCAAGAAGCGCCTCCTTGAAAGACCAGCACTGCACCCTGTAGGTCTTCCAGTCAAGCGAGACTAGCTTTTGAACTGGAACCGCCTTGCATCCTTCTAGCGAATAAGAAGGAACACGAACATGCTGGTCATAGAGTTCAGCGAGATGTCCAGCGAGGTCGCCGTTCTGGAGAATGACTGCCCCCCCAATCTTCTCAGCTGCTGCAGCAATTTGTGAACTTCTGGTCATGAACTTCGAGGTCGTCTCAAGCGAGTCTTAGTGGGCCCTGGAAACGACAGGGCCGTTTATTTACCGGTTCCGTTTTGCCGTTTTTTTGCCGGTTCCGACGCCGTTTTTGTCACCGGTTCCCTCGCCGTTTTTTGACTGGTTCCGGCTCCGGTTCCAATCCTGGAGCTGTTTTTTCGCCGTTTCCGGTCGCCGTTTTTTTGCCGTTTCCATGTTCAAGGGGCACTTGTTGGGAAACGGTGAAAAAACGGCCCTGCCGTTTCCGGGGCCCACAAAGGCGAGTTTCCTTGTTTGAAAATGAGCCACCATCCATCCGTGCAGCTGTTACGCATGTCAAGCGCTTGGCGCTTTACGTTCGGAAAGGAGCTCTAAGACGGTACAGCCGGGGCCCTGAAGAAGGAACCCTTTGCGTTGGGGAGGGGCTCCGCGTTCCTTAAGTGTTTCGCAGGTTGCCTCAGGTGTTCCTTATGTTTGCGATCGGGAATCGAAGGTTAAATTATGGGAAAAAGGGGCCTCGTTCCTTATTTAGGGTTCCTTAGGTCATCGCTCCGACTGTATCCCTGTTTTGAAGAAAAAAACGTCCTCCATAAGACGCCTGTGGCGGTTTTCGTATGGGTGAGTGCATTCGGTTTTGGCCGCTCCTTGCTACAGATCCTTCAACTCGGCCTTCGACAGCAGAGCCGGCTACTGTAACAACATACATAAGACGAGCCTATCGGGGTCTTCGGCAATATGATCGGGCAATGCTTTCGCGTGATGTCGGTTGTTGCATCGCTTGCTGGGGCGGGGGACCACAAGTTCGTCTAATGGCTCTGGTTCCTGCGCTTACGTTCGTTTAGTTCGTTTTGGGGCCTTCGGGCCTCATGTAACCGCTAGTCCCTGTGTCTAAGGGGTCTAATCCGACCGGCCCGGGCGTGCAGTGGAGAGGGCGCGTGCGACGCATGTTATTTCATCGCCACGTCCTCTGGGGCCAGTAGGTGCTGGCAAGAGTTGTTTTCTTGTCACCTCGGCCGATTTGCCACGTACGGCGGGTTGTAGCAGTAACAGTGGTGCCTCGAGTCGGGGCCGCGCACCTCGCGCTGCAGGTGAGGCGTGTTGCGCTACCCCGCCTGAGCCTCGCATAGACCATTCTCAACTCCACCGTCCTTTTCGACAGCATCCTGGTCCGCCAATTTCGTATACAATTTCGTTTCATACAACGTCGCACCTAATAGTAGACTTTGAAAAAAGCCTTTCGGCAAGGAACGTCGACCTCGTCAAGTGTGTCTGGTGCAAGTTTACCGGCTTGACGTCTTCCCCACATGCCTGCAACCGCCCGCCCTTCACCCGGGAGAACACAACACGTTTTCGATCGAGCGCGATTATGCGAAACACAATTGAAGTTTGTGCAGGTGCCCCCCGCCCGAGTTTACGAGTAATTGGCGCAGCGGTGCCCAAACAAGTTTGCGTTTGCGTGTGTGCGTGGACGGCGCGCCCGCGCCTGCGTTTCCCATCGCGGGTAGGACGCGCATGCTCACGTGTGTATCCCCCCCTCATGACCAGCAACGCGAAAAGGTGGACTACGAGGTTTATCCGCCCTCACTCGTGGTAAAGATGCTCGAGACTGGCAACGAGGTGGGCACCACTGGCGACCACGTGTCTCTGGGCGAGGAGGACTCGTTGAGGTGCTTGTGCGAGTGTGGCTCCCCCTGTGCCTCGCTCCCCTCTTCCCCTCCCTCCACGGGCGAGGAGGAGGACTTGGACCAGGCAACCTGTGAGGCCCGTGATAGACACCTTTCGCCGACAGGATGGTGATACAGCAGGCGGGGGCGCTGGCGAAGGCGATGGTGATGCTGATGATGCTGACGACGATGGTGGCGGTGGAGGTGGGGATGGTGGTGGTGCTGGTGATGATAATGACGACGACGATGAGGAAGCGAATGATGGTGATGATGATGAGGATCGTGATGGTGACCGTGGCCATGACCATGAGTTTGATGGTCATGGTGTTGATTGTGATTAAAGTACCTATGGCGATGCTGATTTTGACGGTGATGATGATGATGATGATGATGGTGATGACGATGTTGTTGATGATGAGTATTCGCATGATGATGAGGATGAGGATGCTGATGGTGGCGATCATGATGCGGATGATGATAATGATGATGATGCCGGTGATGCGGCTGATGATGATAACGGTTACGCTGATGTTGATGACGGTGATGGTTGAGCGCATGTTGATGATGACGATTGTGAGGAGGGCAAGGAAAAGGACATGTAGGAGGCTTTGTCGGAGATGGGGGAGGAAGTGGAGTTAGAGGTGAGGGAGGCAGAAGTTGCCCGGCATGAAGTCCCACCGAGGTGCCTGTCCGAAGGCGTCCGCCTGTGCCTTGTCGGTGTCAAGAGCAGGCCAGAGCTGAACTGTGCCCGCGGCACCGCCAGGGAGTACAGGGCCGAGGCGGACCGGTGGAACGTGGAGCCGGGGAGCTTCGCAAACCTCAGTGGCAACGTTAATGGGGGAGTACGGCTCCAGGGGAAACACATTGCCCCCCACTCGCCACTTCATCGCCCGTAGGGGTCTACTAGCCCACCCGCAAAAGAAGGTGGGGATTCGCTATCGAGGGCCTGGCGAAGATCAATCGGCGACACATCGTCAATTCAGGTTGATGCTTCCCCTGCTGGGCCAGTCTCCCATCCCCGCAGCGTTCCCCCTCAGTAGAAACATGAGAAGATGTGCGCAGCGACGCGTGCTCGCCTCAAGCCGACGAGCACGTGCGAGACTTGAGGCAGGGCCGCGTGAGCAGGGGCTCCCTCGCCCAGCCTCCACCGCTGCTTAGGGCCTGGCATCGCTCGGACGTGTGCATTTTTTCTCGGCGAGAACCATTGAGGACGATCCTGCTCCATCGAGCAGAAAGAAACACGCACGAAACCGAAACATGCACGGGAAATGGACGTCCGAGCGATGGCGAGGGGGGGCCCAAGGCGATCTGCCCCTCCCCCCCCCCTCCCGGGGCGATTCAGGTGCGAGTACCTCGGCCTCGCAGGTCACGGAGTCGGCTGCGCATGGGTCGTTTTAAGTCGGGCCTGTCCCTCTACAGGGAGAATATCCAAACAAGCAGTCAAAACACATAGTTAGGGGATTTTTTTTAGTAGTTATGGACATCAGTTGAGTATTTTTTGCGTACTTTTCGTTTTTCGTCCAACATTCCCCGGTAGGGGGGCACGCCCGACTGAAGGGTCGTTGAAGGTACGTATTTTTGGAACCCGGATTCCAATCTACCTTCAGCGCCCCCCTGCTTCAGTGATCGAGTGGCTTCACCTTTTCGAGTCCTCCTCAGGGGGCGGGCTGACCCCCGGCCCATTTTCAGCGCCTTCCTGCTTCCTGTTTCTGCCTGCTTCTTCCGACCGATGCGTACCCGCTCGAGTGGCCCCTCGCCGCGGTGTCCAGCTGAGGCAGCTCTCGCTGGGCGCGGGGGGGGCCAGGCACGGGCACGCGCGGGCGGCCGAGACGCAAGCGGGTCCCAAGGGGAACGGGTCCTGCGGTTTGTCGCCGTTTTTGGTTTCTTGGGGCCCTCCACGGACCCCGGGACTGTCAGAAAACGACTCAGGATGAAGATCTCGTCTTGGGGGAAGGTCATGGGGACCAGGTCCTTCCCTCGCAGGCGTTGCTTCTCTCCCAATCCCCGAGTTCCGCGCGAAAGGGTTGGCCGTTCAGAAAAGGGGTGACACTCTGGGATACCCCCAGGGGGCTATTCGCACGCACCCCTGTCGAGGATGGGCGCCACCCCATCGTGTGTGTATCCCAGGGCTGGGTACAAACTTTGTGGTCGAGTCGAACGTACCCCACAGTCGGGGGTTGATTGGGGTCGCGGTAGCACCCGTTACTCCCTGAGGTCCGACGCTGCCAACACATTGCAGCGCCGCCAGTTATCACGGCCGGCGCCCCAGTCACCATTCTCCTGCGGCAGTTCCCTCGAGCCGCACCGACCTGTGAGGGTCCCGGGGTCCGAAGCCTGGCGAAAGCGTCCGGTGTTTCAAACGTGGAACGTGTGGATCTCAGGGAACTCGGGGGTGGCAAAGAGGGGGGGGGGGACTAGGGGGGGTGGACATCATGGCGGAGGGGCATGGTACCTCCCCAGATTTCATGGCGCCTCTTCTTATTTCGATACGTCCCCGGCCGCCCCTCCCTTGGGCCGCGCACGTGCCGCTGGCCATGATCTGCGCCCCCCCCTCTTGGACGCCCCCCTCTTGGCCGCCCCCGATCCGGGAACGGGTCACGGTATCGCTCGTCTTTTCTTCCTTTGGCTCCCGAGGCCGTTGCAGGAGATGGCCTCTCGGACTCTGGGGAGCACCTGACGAACGAACAACACACACCCATACCCATAGGGAGGTCGTTGGGAGGAGGACTGGCTGTGGGTATGGGTGCGGGTTGTCGGACCCTGGGGAACGATCCCGTTCCACCGGGGACCCCCATCCGACAACACGCACCCATATATCCCTCTCCGGTCCCCCTATTGGTATGGGTGTGTGTGTGTGTTGTTGGTTCGTCGGCACCGGGATCAGGCTCGGAGGCGACCGTGCAGGACGGCCTGCCCTGCAGCGCCGTGCCATTTCATCGGCCCCCGCAGCGGATCGTTGGAGCATCGGGGTCGCTTCGGATCGGGTCGGCCAGAATCGGGAGGGAAAAAAGCACGCAGACACAATTCATCGTCGACCCCCAGGAAAATATGGGAAAATATGGGAGGTGGAGGGGAGGACAAAGACCCAGAAAATATGGGAAATATGGGGAATGCTTTTATTTGTGTGTATTTATTTGTGTGTTCTGGAGCCCCTTTACAGAATCGTTATCGGATCGGAGCGATCGGATTGACGTGGGCCAGGAAAGTATCGGTTTGCGTATAGACAGCCTTCTCGGGTGGTTCCAGCTGGCTTCAGCAGGCCCCCGAGTACGCCGGGACTCGTGTTCGCCGACGTTTTTGAACGAGCGCATCTGGATTTTGACGGTCCTGTGTTCGTGGGGTGTTTGCGACGGGATCTCGCGTCAAATCTCACATTTTGTCTGATCATTTTCATGATTGCCCCGTCAGGCCAACCCGCGTCCCCCGAACTCGAGTCTTGCGTCTCCCCGATACCTCGGGGGGGCTGTCTGGTCGCAGCCCGAAGCCTTGCCCGAAGCGGGCCCCCCTGTAGGAGCTGGCCTCCGGGGAGCTGATCTCCCTGAGGCCGAGGTGCAGGGGCGGCCGAACCGACCCCTCGCAAACGATCACCTTCCCTGACGTCACCCTTGTCTCGCCCCCAAGACGCATGTGTGCGGGCGGAGGGGTTCAGAGATGTACAGCTATCGCGAAGAGCGAATCGGAGCGAAACCAGGATCTGGCCTCCCTCGTAGCCCTGCTGCGAGCTCTGGGCGTGAGTCCACGACCGATTCGGTCGAGGTGCTCATGCCCCGTCCTATTCGGGGGTTTGCCTTTCTGGGCGAGGCTTCTCTGCTGATGCTGGCCACTCCAAGACAGGCGAGGGTGACGTCAGGGAAGGGGGTGGGTCAGGAGGCGAACGAAAATACAGACGCAATCCATCGCCGATTCCCAGGGAAGCACGAACCCCCAGAACGCATGGGACACTATGGGGAATCCGGGGATTCCTCTGCGTCTGTGTGTGTATTGACTTGTGTCTCCCCCTTCTCTGCGTAATTCAAGCTCTGCGCGGCCCGCTTTGCTTCGACCGGAAGAGGTGCGCTCTCGACCCACGAATCACAGAAGCATTGACTTGTGAAACCCTGGGCCCCTTTGGTGGTCTGCCAGGGGTCGGCTAGGCCGCGCCCGAGAGGTGCCTCTCCGTGCTGCTGGCGCCGAGCCCGCCGGCCGAGGCGGACGCGGCGCCGCCGCCGAGCCCCGCCGCCGCTCACATCGGCGGCGAGGCCGCCGAGTCCGCTGCCGCGGAGGCCAGCGCCGAGGAGGACGGACCGGGGGCGCCGCCGCGACGGTCGGAGGAGGGGAAGGTACCCAGACTCCGCCTCCTCCTCCTCCTCCTCCTTCCCCTCCTCCTGCTTCTTCGCCTCCCCCTCCTCCCTCTCCGCCTCCTTCCCCTCCTCCTGCTCCTCCTCCTCCCCCTCCTCCCCATCCTCCTCCTCCTCCTCCTCCTCCTCCTCCTCCTCCTCCTCCTCCTCCCCTCTTTTTCTTCTCCTCCTCCTCCTCCTCCTCCTCCTCCTCCTCCTCCTCCTCCTCCTCTTCTCTTCTTCCTCCTCGTCCGCCTCCTCCTCCTCTTCCTCCGCCTCCTCATCCTCCTTTTTCTCCTCATCCTCCTCCTCCTCATCCTCTTCTCTTCCTCCTCCTCGTCCGCCTCCTCCTCCTCCTCCTCCTCCTCCTCCTCCTCCTCGTCCTCCACCTCCTCCACCTCCTCCCATTCCCCCTCGTCCTCATCCTCCTTTTCCTCTTCCTCATTCTCCTCTTTCTCCTCCTCCTCCTCTTTGTTTCCTCCTCCTCCTCCGCCTCCTTCACCTCCTCTTATTTTCCTCCTCGTCCTCGTCCTCCTCCTCCTCGTTCCTCCTCCTCTTCGGCAAGTCCCATCTTGGCTCAACGCGCCCTGCGGCGCCTTGAGCCAGCCCCGAGCCTTCGCGACGCTGACTAGGGACCCGCTAACGCCAGCCGCCACGGACGCAGGCGACGGCGGTGACTGATTCGGGGCGAATCTGGAGCTGGGGAGGCTGCCCGATGGCGTGGCGGCCCGCCACTTCGCGGGAGGCGGACATCGCTGTTTACGGGGCGACCGCCGCGCGTCGCTTGGCGCGGAGTCGGAGGCGCGACGCCTGCCAGGCAGGCTTTCGTCGCCTACGCGCAGCGCTTCCGTGTCAGGTGGCGGCGGATGTGCAGCCCGCGCGAGCGGGCCCCGTGGTCGAGCCGTTCGTGGCCGCCCCCGCAGGTGGAGCAGGTGGACGTGCCCCTCGCCGCCCTCAGCGTCGAGCGGGAAGCCGAGGACTGCGTGCCTCCCTCCGCTCACGACGGAGGCGCCGTGCAGATGCGCCGCGGTGCCCAGGACTTCGTGCCGCGCGTCCGCCTGCAGGCGACTGCCGCCGAGGCGTTCCGCGCTGCAGTGTGGCGGCGTGCGGGGGCCAGGGCCGAGGACGCCGAGGCGGCCCGCGACGACGAACACTACGACCACCCTGAGCTGTACTCCTCCGGCTCCGACGTCGACATTGTCGACGCGGCGGCGCTGGTCCGCGCCCTGGAGGAGCAGCTCAAGGAGGTAGAGGCGGACGCCGCGCGGGTCGACGCCGCGCTGGCCTCGACGGATCGCGGCGCACACGATCGAGGCGGAGATCGCGAGGGAGACCAGGCCACCACGCGACGGGTCCACTTCGGCCCCGCAGATTGGTGCTTCCCCGTGGCCGTCTCCGCCATCCTCGGCGACGACAGCATCGACAAGTCGCCGCAGGATGCCGTCCTCAGCGAGCCCCGCGGCCCGAACAGGCTGGTCCGCCCCTGGCCCGAGCGCGTGGCGCCCCTCGGCGTCCGTACTGGTGCCAACGGCGGAGCCGAGACGGCCGTGAACGTGGACGCCTTGTTCCGAGGCTTCTCCGCCACCGCGGCCGCGATGGCTTCTGCCGCGATGGCTGCCGCGATGGCGAGGCGGCAGTGGTGTCTTGGGCGCCTGTGTTTGGCCCCCGCGCGGCGTCCAAAAAGCCGGGCACCAGAGGTCACTCTTGCCCAGGGTCACTCGTGCGTGTAGCCGACATTGGCAGGACGGGGGGGAAGGGAGGATGGGATGTCCTTCTCCCTCTCTTCCTCCTCCTCCTCCTCCTCCTCCTCCTCCTCCTCCTCCTCCTCCTTCTCCTTCTCCACCACCACCACCTCCTCCTCCTCCTCCTCCTCCTTCCCCACCTCCTCCTCCACCTCCTCCTCCTCCTCCTCCTTTTCCTCCTCCTCCCTCTCCTACCTACGGTAGTTATGGTGGGAAGTCGGCCCATCCGGGAGGCAGGGGCGATGAAGGTCCCACGGCAGGACAGCCTGCCGACTCCGCAGTCACACCTCTGATGCCAGCGTCAATAGTGTTGCGTTGAAAAACGGTTCGGGATGTAGCGCTGGCCCCAGGGGAAGCACCTTGGCCCAAGTCCCAGGACCCGTTGACCATCACCCTTCATAGGCCATGACGGCAGTGGGTCCACGGGTAATGAATCAAGGACATGCTTGGCCCAAGATGGAAAGCATTACTTAGGCGAATGGGGGAGAAGGATGGAGGAGGGAGAAAGCATTAGGAGTATGATGGAGGAGGAGGAGGAGGAGAAGGAGGAGGAGGACGAGGAGGAGGAGGAGGAGGAGGAGGGAGGGAGGGAGGGAGGGAGGGAGGAGGGGGAGGAGGAGGAGGAAGAGTTGGATGAGGCGGAAGAGGAGGCAGAAGGTCATGTCAGGTTGGGGTTACGAGCTGAGCGGACCCCCCCCTCCCCCCCCGAGGCTGATGAATAGACCCCGCGGGGCGCGGATTTTTTTTAACGTTATATCCCGCGCGCCAGGTGGTCGTTGGTGGCGCAGCCGAGGGGATCGTGCACCCCCCTGCCTTGCAGCCTCAAAGCGATTGCCTTGCGTATAGAAGTTGTTATGGGGGTCGTACACATCCGAAGCGATGTCCCTCCCCCTCTGAGTCGTCGTCGTCGCCGCCGTCGTCGTTGTCGTCGTTGTCGTCGTCGTCTTCTTCTTCCTCCTTGTCGTCGTCTTCGTCGTCTTCATCGTCGTCGTCGACGACTACATCGGGCCTGCGCAGCACACACACATCCCATAGGGCATCCGCAGTGCGTCGTCGACGTCGCCGCCGTCGCCGCCGTCGCCGTCTGCCGTCCGCCGTCCGTCATCCTCGTCGTCGTCGTCGACGATTACAGAGACCACGACAGAAGGGGGGAGGAGGATTGCCCGCCTTGCTCGGGTCGGACGAAAGGCTGGAGGAGGAAAGGGGGAGTTGGGAAACCTGCTGCGCGCAGCTAGTTTCGGTCGCCCCGCCGAGGGGCCAGTCCTCGATGCATGGCCGCTTTCGGCGCCAGGGGGCGTTCGGAAAATCAGCAGTGTGAGCTGCTGGGCAAATCCCCTCCTGGCCACGCCCCCCCATTCGTCCAGCCCGCCTTGCTCGCCGTCCCGCGAGGCGGTTGGCGCCCCCCTGGCTGCGGCCGCGGCAGTGGAAGCGCATCGGTTCGACAGAAATGAACACGGAAAGTGCGGGGGCGAGCGCCGACAGCAGTTCTTTTTCATGTTAAACAGGTGTCGCCCTGGCTCACAGTCCCTACTTCTACTGCCTTTGCCTCCCGCCCCCGTCCCCTCCCCCAGTCTGTGTTGTCTGTCGCCTTCTCGTTGGCGGCCGGGCGTCGGCGCTAATCACCTGCGCCGCCCCGCTGATCTTCAATCTGGCGGGCGCCGCCCCGCCTTTCGCCCGAGCAGGGGAACGGTTTTTTAAACGCGCCCGCCCGGATGAGGAGGAAGAGGAGGCGGAGGAGGAGAGGGGGCAAGTGGATGAGGAGGGGGCGGAGGAAGAGGAGGAGGAGGAGGAAAAGGACGGGAAGGAGGAGGAGGAAGAGGAGGAGGAGGAGGAGGAGGAGGAGGAAAAGGAGGAGGAGGAGGAGGAGGAAGAGGAGTTACGGCAGCGATCGCCCCAGGAACGGAGGCCCGCATCCCCCGAGCGGCGGCCGCCGTCCCCGCAGCCGCGGGCGGCCGCCGCGGGGGAGCAGCCGCCGGAACCATCCCCCCGGCCGGCCGCGGCCGCCGAGGGGGAGCTGCCGCCGCGGCCGCCGCTGGGCGCTGGCGGCAGCGCGGACGCGCCTGGTGCCGCGGTCTCGCTGCGAAACGCCGGGGGGGAGCCGCCGCCGCGGCCGCCGCCGGAGGCTGCCGGCAGCGCGGGCGCGCCTGGTGCCGCGGAGTCGCTGCGAATCGCCATGGGGGGAGCGGGTCTTTTAATGTGAAGCGGGTCCGGATGTTTTTCGTTGTGTTCGGGCTCGCGGGGTCCTCCACGGGCTCCGTTCAGGAGGGAAAGCAACACACAGACACAATTAATCGTCGACTCCCCAGAAAATATAGGAAAATATGGGAATTGGGGTGGAACGCAAGAACCCAGGACATATGGGAAAATGTTGTAACTATTTTTATTTGTGTGTATTTATTTGTGTGTCCTGGGGCCCCTTCATCCGTGCTTGTCAGAAACACGGTTCCAGGAGGACAGGTGGTTCTGGGGAGCGCTTCGGGGCCCACGACGCTCTGGGTGCTTGCGCTGACGCCGCCATGACGGGGCGTTGCCTCCGCCCTGTAATTTGAGGTGCCTGCGGTGCCTGCGATTGGTCATGCGCCATCTCTGCGCTGATCAACCGCCAGTTCTTACGGTGTTTGCGCTGACGCCGCCGTGACGTGCCGACGCCCGCACACTACTGCTTGGCGAGCAGCGATGCCTGCCCCTGGCCATGCACCTCGCTTGGATGATGAGATGTTGCGGGAGCGCGCCTGGTATAGCAACCTGGACAGGGGTGTGAAAACATCCGCCGCCAGGGCAGGGGTGCGAGCACGCTTGGGTGCTCAGTTTTTGTTTTCCTTTTTTTCTAAGAGGTCGTGGCAGTCCGGGGCACTGATGTAGTCATCGTGTGGGCGAGAACGCGACGGTCGAATCAATTGTGAGGAAGCCTCCGGCGAGACGTCTGCCGCACCGCTTCGGGACTGGGCGGTTTCGGATCTCCGTCTGCTCGTTTGCTTTGTATTTGCAATTCTCTAATCTTCTTCGGCCCATCCAGCCACCGTTCCTGAATTGCGGGTCCGAGTTTCCACGGATGGTTCTTGTGGTCTTGTCGGGGCGCTTTCGGATGCTTGTTGGGGGCAGTTGTAGGGCCTGTTGGGAGCCTCCGGGTTTTTTTGGGAGGACTCTTGGGGCCTCTTGGGGGCCTGTTGGGGCCTCCTGGGGGGCCATCGTGGCCGAGGGCTCGAAAAATCCGTTCGGGATTCCATCTGGGCCATCCTGGGCCATCTTTGGCACCTCTTGGGCAGTCTTGTTGGGCCGCCTCGGGGCCCCGTCGTGAGCTTCTGGGGCCGTCTTGGGGCGATCTTCGGGGCCTCGTGCGCAGTCGTTGCGCGTCGGGACGCCGCACATGCCAGAACGCCAACATCATCCAGAAACCTGAGGCAAATCAGCGATCTGTGCCCGTCGGGGCCTTTTCGGGAGGCCTGTTGGAGGCCTGTTGGGGCGTCCCTGAAGCCTCTTGAGCCGATTTAGGATTAATCCGGGGGATCCTCGACGACAAATAGAATATACCCCAACAGTACTCAAGACATAGTCCAAAAATACTCTGGGGATTATGTGCTTAGTCGGAGGTTGGGGGGTGAGATGGCAGTGTAACGGAGTCCCCCCGCCGGGAAATCGAGTTTCGAGTTCGTGCTCGTGCCGTGCGTGCGGGCGAGGCGAAGCTGCGTGGGCCAGCGAGAGGAATTCACCCTGCTGTCGTTAGGGGTCCGCCAACACAAATGTTTCCCTCCCCCCGGTGTTGTCAAGCGGTGGCCCGCATTGTCCCGTCGGTTGCCCGCCGGTTGCTCATCATGGTTGCTCATCATGGTTGCTTATCGTTGTCCCGCCGTCATCGACTGGGACGTCGTCGGCTGGGACGTCGTCGGCTGAGTGCCGCGTCGCGCAGCGGCAAACCGAACGACACAAGTCGCCCAAGCGAAGGAACAACAAAAACTCCGCCACGCCATCCACACCATCATCGCCCATCATCACCACGTTCAGCAGTTGTCGTCATGAGCCACCCCCCTCCCCCCACCCCCCACAACCTCCTTATCACCCGCAGGGTGGTCGTATAGGTATTTGTTTTTGACCTTTCTGGGGTATTTCTGGGGGTATCTTTTATGTTTCGTCGGAAATCCCCCTGTAGGGGGACACGCCCGACATAATCTTAGGATTGCCCTGGGCGTCTTGGACCGATCGTTAAGCGGCTTGGGGCCTTCCTGGGCCGCCTTGGGAGAGCTTCTCGGTGGGCACGAGGGGCCCCTCGTGGTGCCCGAGAGGGACCGGGAGCAGGCGGGCGACGAGCAGCAGCGCGTGGGCCCTGGGGAGCCGCGGGAAGCCTCGGGAGGTCTGGCGATTTCGGTTTGGGCCCCCATGCACACATCGACTAGACTTAAGAGTGACCTTTCGCCGGAGTGACCTTTGGTGCGGGCACAAATGCGTCCCCAGATGGCTGAAAACGAAGCAGGAGCAGCGGCTCGCGCGCCTCAGTTTGGCCCCCCCGCGGCCTCCCCAAAGCCGCGCACCAAAGGTCACTCTTACCCAGGGTCACTCTTGCGCGTAGCCGAACACATTATTCGGGAGTGAGGACGGAGGCTGAGAGGCTTAGGCAAAGAACCTGCTGACGCCCACTCCGTGCGCAGAGGCACGGCGTCGGATTCGAATGTTCAATCGCAGCGCTTTCTATGAGTGTTCGCCGACCCAGGCCCGACAGTAAATTACTTCAGAGTGGACGTGCAAGCCATGTGGTGCAAGCTGTGTGGTGTAAGATATGTGTTGCAGTATGTGTGGTGCAAGCTATAGGCGGCAACGAGGCGGCAACGGGCGGCAACGCGGCGTAACCTCGCTGGTCCCACCCAACGGAGGAGGCGGCAACGAGGCGGCAACGATCGGCAACGTGTCGAACCCCGCCGAACCCACCCAGCGCGCGAGGCGGCAACGAGATGGCGACGAGGCGGCAACGGGCGCCAACGCGTCGAAACCTCACCGGGCCCAGTGTATGTTGACGCAAGTGGCAGCCCCGAAGTGCAAGCATTAGGATAACCAGCATACGTTGGTCGGCGCTGGACCCTGTCAGCGGCGCCTCGGGTCCGCGCTCCAAGAACTCCGCGCGGACCTCCGAGCGTTCCTGCTCGTGTTGCCCTCCCTCCTCTGATCAAGGGGGCCCAATCCCCGACGATCTAATTGGGGAGGCCTTGCGGCCGGTTCCGCCGGCTCCGAAGGGTGCGCAGGGGAAGTCCCCGAAGGGGAGGCCTTGCGGCCGGTTCCGCCGGCCCCGAAGGGTGCGCAGGGGAAGGCCCCGAAGGGGAGGCCTTGCGGCCGGCTCCGCCGGCCCCGAAGGGGGGATCGGGCTGCGCAGGGAAGGGCTGCGGGGGGGCCGAGGAACGCACGAGCCCAGGCCGACGGTTGTCCCAGAACGGCTTGATGACGTCCTCGAGACTGGGAGAGGAGGAGGAGGAGGAGGAGGAGGAGGAGGAGGAGGAGGAGGAGGAGGAGGAGGAGGAGGAGGAGGAGCAGGAGGAGCAGGAGCAGGAGCAGGAGCAGGAGCAGGAGCAGGAGCAGAGGCAGAGCACCGTGCCGTCTTTTTCTAGCGGCCCTTCGCCTATCCTGCCACCGTACCTGGGTGGCGGACAGGGTGTCCCGTGAATTCATTCACGGGTCTCGCCTCTTAGAGAGTTCTTGGGGCCGTCGGTGCCTTGTGGAGCCCTCTTCCCTCTTGGGGGCCTCTTGAGATCCTATTGTGGTCCTCGAGGGGCCTTTAGGGGCCTGCTGGCGGTCTCAGGCCTCTTGGGCCATCTTGGAAATCTCGTGGGAATTCTTCAGACCCTCTTTGGAGCCCCTTCGGCCGTCTGGGGACATCTTACGGCCCTCTTGGGCCGTCTCGGAGCGATTGAATTCAGCAGACACCTTTTGGAGAATTAATTCATGACTTTTGCCTCTTTGGGCCCTCGTGGGGTCCTCTTCAGGCCTTCTTGGGCCATCCTGGAGGCCCATTGTGCCGTCTCGGTACGATCTTAGGCGTCTTGGATTTGCGTTGCCGAAGAGGGCCAAGCAAGCCAGTGGAGGGCCCAGCATGTCGAGTGGGGGGGGTAGCGCAGTCTGTCCCAGGACCTCCTTCCAGGGCCCTCCGCGGGCGTTGCCTCGGCAGGGCCCCCCCTCCCCTCCCCCCCCCCAAGCGGGGTAGGGATCAAGGAAGGGGCTTCCTTCCGAGTTGATGATGGTTAGGGGCGGCTTCCTCCGGGCTGGCGACCTCGAAACACTCCTACTCGGCGACCTCGCAACGCTTTGGTCGGGCTGGTTATTTGGGACGGTTTCTCTTCGGAGCTCATGGTTCTCTGGGAACGCTCCGATATGCTGGACTCTGAAAGCCGACAGTGCCGGCGGATTTTTCTACCCTATGCTCTTCTCGCAAATTTCCGCCCTCGGAGGTGCGATTACGTTCCCCCGGACCATCCAAACATGGACCTGGCCTCTGGGCACGGGTTCGGGACCTATGGGAAGGCCGTGAGTCGCCTTGGAGTAAAGAAATCCAGGATTCCAAAATGGGGTCCGATCAGATGGGGTCTGAGGGTCGTGCCTCATCGCCAATGCCCATGCGATGCGGCTCGATAGGCAGGACGAAGTGCCATGCCGATGCATCGCCGGTGCCTCGGCGAGGCGGCGCGAGTCTCCGACCCCCTTTTCCCCGGACCCCATTTGGGTGGCGTTTGATGAAGGAAAGGGGTCCGAGGTTGTTCACCGATGAACTGGTCGTGGGGAGGAGGAATTGTCGAAGGAATGCCCAGGCTGCAGGTCTCTCCTCCTCATCCTCCTCTTCCTCCTCCTCCTCCTCCTCCTCCTCCTCCTCCTCCTCCTCCTCTCTGTAAGCGGGCCATGGTCCATGGTCGAAGGAATGCCTTGGGCCTAACAGCGTCTTGCGATGCGTCTTGCGTCAGCGTCTTGCGGCCCTGTCTGTCGAGTATGTGCTGGTTTGTGAGCACCTGGGGGTCTGGGTCGGTCGCGGAACTTGTTGCTTGCGGGGTATCATCGAGGAGTCTCGCCAGAGCAGCGCGTGCATAATCTGACAGTTACAGCGTTTTTTTGTAACCATTT